GAGAGAGAGAGAGAGAGAGAGAGGGAGGGAGGGAGAGAGGGAGAGAGATGGGCATGACGAAGGCGGGCGGCTTAGCCGTGGTGGAGAGGGAGGGCGAGCGGGGAGCAAGAGGAGACGCACATGGCGGGAGCTCGGCTGGCAGTTGGCAAGCAACCGGGACACGGGACGGTGAGTGGGGACTGGTCGCAGGAGGGGACGCGCAAGGGAGCAGACAAAAGGCCGGGCGCTGACGTACGATCAGAGAAAGGGGGAAGAGGGATCGAACAGAGACCGCACTTGAGGGGGGGGGGGATGGAGACGAGGCGGAGGACGAAGCGGCGGGGGGGAGGAGAGGGCAGATGGATGGGGGGCGGGGGGGAGAAGGGGGAAGAGAGGGGGGAGGGGATGGTATGGGAACTGTGCTGGGCCCCCCCACACGCGTGTCAGCCGGGGGCCATCCTCTTGTTGGCCGCTGGGAGAGGCCCGGCCGGGCAAGCCCCCGAGTGTGCCGATCCGGGCTTCCGGCTCCACTCGCAGACGCCCCGCGCCCGGCCCTCAGCCCATGCTCTCGCGGACGAGGGCACCCATGAATGCCGCCGCACCAGCGAACTTACGCTTGCCCCTTTGCCCCCCCCCCCCCCCTGGCTGAGGCCCAGAGGTACATGCCGAGAAGAGGCTCCAAGTGGGCGCATCCTTCGAACGGAAGGAAAAAGAACCGCCCGCGCCCCATCCCCAGCCGGGGGGGGGGGCGCGGCACACAGGCATCCGGCTCCCTGCAGCCATGGTCCTTGCTGGGGGAATCCACCCGGGGAAGCGGGCTGACAGAGGGGGGGGGGGGGCAGGGCGGGGGTGGCTGGCTGGCTGGCTGGGAAGGTCCGCGACATAGTGGGAGAAGCCTCCCGCACCCCGGGTCGCACGGCGGTGATGTGGCCCACCCACCCTCCGGTCCGCCAGCCAGGGAAGGAGCCGCTGGCGGTTGGACCCGCGGGGAGGGGGGGGGCGGCGGGTGCCGGGCGTGGGCCATGTATTCATGAGGCGCCTGTGTGAGCGCGCCCACGCCCGTCTACACCCGCCCGCGCAGCCTAATGGGGAGAGCAATCCCGAGGGCGCCTCTCCTCCGGCCGAGCCCTGTCTGCGCCGCTCTCTTTTTGGTCGGCGCTCTTCGGCACGCGGGGTGGCGGGCCGGGGGGGGCGGGGGGGGGGCCACCAGAACCGCTGGCGCTCCGGCGCCGCCCACCCAACCAGATGCCGGTCACTGATGCGCCAGAACCGCCATTCCCCGGGTGTCGCAGTCACAGAGACCGCCGTTGCCGGCGCCGGGGGAAGCCGCGACCGCCCTCCGCCGGTGATGAGGCAGCACCAGGAAATAAACAACAACGCGCCTTCCGCGGTGGACCCAGACGGAAAAGGGAGCCAGGGCTCCCCGCCCCCGGAACCCACCGCCCCCTGCCGGCGCCGAGGATCGGGCGAGGCCAACACGTTAAGACCCGGAAAGAGAAGGCGCAGGAAAGGGCAACCGTGGCCGCCTCTTGCCAATGCTCCGGCCGGCCGCAAGATGCCCCGGCCCCAGAGCCCCAGCCCCGGCCCCGGCCCCGGCACCCCGCCCCCCCCCCCCCCCCGATAGGCCCTGCTCCCCCTCCCCAGGCAGAGCCCCGCCGGGCCTGTCGGTCGAAACGCCCAGCCCGCGAGGCCGATCGTCCGCGGGGAGGGGGGAAGGGGGGGGGGGGGAAGTGACCGAGGTCGTGCGAGTGCCCATCCCTCGTCGTCACGCCGGTGAACTGAGACCCGCAGCATGGGCGAGACTTCCAGCGAAAAAAAAAAACGCCCGTCCGGTCAAATCCCGCCGGCAAATCGCAAACGCCCGGCTGGGGGACAGCACCCCGGCGGGAGGGCGGGAGTCCGATCGCGCGCCCTCCCGCCGGTGATCTGCCAGAGCTTGTCGCAATGCCCGGCGCCCTCCTTCTTGCGACCTGCCCCCCCCCCATTCACCCCGACTCAGGCTAACGGCCAAATGTGTCCCGCGGGCGGCCAGCCGTTTTCTAGTGGGGGATGCCGAACCAGCGCGCCCCTCGCCCCCCCCCCCGCCCCCCCCGCCAACAGCCGGGGGGCATGCCGGGACTATCTGCTCTTCCTTCTCCTGGGCCTGGAGAATGGGGATTCGACCACAAAAGGCGGCTCCAGAACCCGGGGGCAGGTGGGCAGTAGTAGCGTGCGGCCGCGCCGACCATCATCCGCGAGTATCCTCGAAAGAAAAATAAAAAGAAAAAGAACCTGCTTATGTGTCGCCGGAGATGGCGACGCAGGCCTGCCGGGGGGGTGGGGGGG